AGATTACCTAATAATGTTATATTACGGTAATTTGGTCCCCGACTATTTTTTTTTGACCAAATAAGTCCCTCAACTTTAAAAATTTTAACCAATTTGGTCCTCCGTTAGTTTTGCCGTTAGACTTCCTTTATCTTTGGACCAGATTGATAATTTTACTATAGTCAAGGGACCATTTCAGTAATTAACTTTAAGGGTGGCGATTTGGTTCTGTTTTCCCGAACCGAACCATACCGAACATTGAAATAATTGATCGTACCGAACGATTCGGTTAAAAATCGAAAGAAAATACCGTTTGATTTTATTTATAATAATAATAACAATAATAATAGTAATAATAATAATAATAATAATAATAATAATATTATTATTATTATTATTATTATTATTATTATTATATTTTAAATAAAATCAAACGGTAATTCCAGTCGTTTTTAACCGAATCGTTTGGTACGGTTAATTACTTTAATGTTCGGTACGGTTTAGTTTGGAAAGGCATGCTTGTGAAGAGCAACATGGGCACAATTCTAGGCGGGCGGCCTTGGTGCGAACTGGTGCGAAAGAATGGAACGGACCGTTGGCGAACACAAGGATTTGAAAACCAAATATTCAACATATTCGGACAAAACTACCCTCATATATCTTTGTTAAATAGAAATGCATAAACAACTTAGCCCTAGCCGCTTCTTTTTTACTCTACTTTGCTCTTTTACCAAGTTACCCGATATCTCTCAATTTCTCTATTGAAATCAGTCTAACAGGTTGGTAGTCTCCCGATCCCTTCGATCAATGGCTAATTCATCAAAATCTTTATCATCTTGTAGCTTAACGGGAATAATTACATTATATATTTATAATAATTTTACTTTACATTTTACAATATGATTTTTATATTTATTAATTTTAATTTTATTAATATTTGGAATGAATTATGTTGTTGCGTTCAACGCACGTTCGATGCACAGAAATAGTGTTACTTTTTTCCTTTCCTCTTTTCACACGGAACTCACAAAAAACTAACTTACCAAATTTAATTTCTTCTCTTTCCTCTCCCCTCTCCTCCAAATCATCTCTCACCGGCCTCTAACAAAGCAAAAAAATCAAGAAAAAATTATTGATTGGGAGTTTTATTACATGTACTCCATTTTTCTACTCCCTCACTCTCTAATGTGGCATGAATGATTGGTTTTGTTTTGGGTATATATATTATTTACTTTTACTCCAAAAAAACAATGATTTGTCATCTTCAACCTATGGGTGTCTCAAACAAAATGTTAACATCAAACTTTTGAGAGAGAGTAAAAGTTGGGAGTAGAATTTAAGAGTAGTAGTATTTTCTATAAATGGAATGCTCTAAGGGGGCGTTTGGTTTAGGTAATCTGAGTATGATAATGTTATATTACTTTGTTTGGTTTAAGCTATGAGATTACCTAATAATGTTATATTACGGTAATTTGGTCCCCGACTATTTTTTTTTGACCAAATAAGTCCCTCAACTTTAAAAATTTTAACCAATTTGGTCCTCCGTTAGTTTTGCCGTTAGACTTCCTTTATCTTTGGACCAGATTGATAATTTTACTATAGTCAAGGGACCATTTCAGTAATTAACTTTAAGGGTGGCGATTTGGTTCTGTTTTCCCGAACCGAACCATACCGAACATTGAAATAATTGATCGTACCGAACGATTCGGTTAAAAATCGAAAGAAAATACCGTTTGATTTTATTTATAATAATAATAACAATAATAATAGTAATAATAATAATAATAATAATAATAATAATAATAATATTATTATTATTATTATTATTATTATTATTATATTTTAAATAAAATCAAACGGTAATTCCAGTCGTTTTTAACCGAATCGTTTGGTACGGTTAATTACTTTAATGTTCGGTACGGTTTAGTTTGGAAAGGCATGCTTGTGAAGAGCAACATGGGCACAATTCCAGGCGGGCGGCCTTGGTGCGAACTGGTGCGAAAGAATGGAACGGATCGTTGGCAAGCACAAGGATTTGAAAACCAAATGTTCAACATATTCGGACAAAACTAACCTCATATATCGTTGTTAAATACAAATGCATAAACAACTTATTCCTAGCCGCTTCTTTTTCTCTCTACTTTCCTCTTTTACCAAGTTACCCGATATCTCTCAATTTCTCTATTGAAATCAGTTTAACAGGTAGATAGTCTCCCGATCTCTTCGATCAATGACTAATTCATCAAAATCTTTATCATCTTGTAGCTTAACGAGAATAATTAAATTATATATTTATAATAATTTTATTTACATTTTACAATATGATTTTTATTTTTATTAATTTAATTTTTATTAATATTTGGAATTAATTATGTTGTTGCGTTCAACGCACGTTCGATGCACGGAAATAGCGCTACTTTTTTCCTTTCCGCTTTTCACACGGACCTCACAAAAAACTAACTTAGCAAATTTAATTTCTTCTCTTTCCACTCCCCTCTCCTCCAAATCATCTCTCACCGGCCTCTAACAAAGCAAAAAAATCAAGAAAAAATTATTGATTGGGAGTTTTACTACATGTACTCCATTTTTCTACTCCCTCACTCTCTAATGTGGCATGAATGATTGATTTTGTTTTGGGTATATATATTATTTACATTTACTCCAAAAAAACAATGATTGGTCATCTTCAACCTATGGGTCGTCTCAAACAAAATGTTAACATCAAACTTTTGAGATAGAGTAAAAGTTCGGAGTAGAATTTAAGAGTAGTAGTATTTTCTATTGATGGAATGCTCTAAGGGGGCGTTTGGTTTAGGTAATATGAGTGTGATAATGTTATATTACTTTGTTTGGTTTAAGTTATGAGATTACCTAATAATGTTATATTACGGTAATTTGGTCCCCGACTATTTTTTTTTTACCAAATAAGTCCCTCAACTTTAAAAATTTTAACCAATTTGGTCCTCCGTTAGTTTTGCCGTTAGACTTCCGTTATCTTTGGACCAAATTGATAATTTTACTATAGTCAAGGGACCATTTCAGTAATTAAGTTTAAGGGTGGCGATTTGGTTCTGTTTTTCCGAACCGAACCATACCGAACATTGAAATAATTGATCGTACCGAACGATTCTGTTAAAAATCGAAAGAAAATACCATTTGATTTTATTTATAATAAAAATAACAATAATAATAATAATAATATTATTATTATTATTATTATTATTATTATTATTATTGTATTTTAAATAAAATCAAACGGTTATTCCAGTCGTTTTTAACCGAATCGTTTGGTACGATTAATTACTTTAATGTTCGGTACGGTTTACTTTGGAAAGGCATGCCGGTGGGGAGCAACATGGGCACAATTCCAGGCGGGCGTCCTGGGTGCGAACTGGTGCGAAAGAATGGAACGGACCGTTGGCAAGCACAAGGATTTGAAAACCAAATGTTCAACATATTCGGACAAAACTACCCTCATATATATTTATTAAATACAAATGCATAAACAACTTAGCCCAAGCCGCTTCTTTTTTACTCTACGGTCCTCTTTTACCAAGTTACCTGATATCTCTCAATTTCTCTATTGAAATCAGTCTAACAGGTTGGTAGTCTCCCGATCTCTTCGATCAATGGCTAATTCATCAAAATCTTTATCATATCTTGTAGCTTAACGGGAATAATTAATTTATATATTTATAATAATTTTACTTTACATTTTACAATATGATTTTTATATTTATTAATTTAATTTTTATTAATATTTGGAATTAATTATGTTGTTGCGTTCAACGCACGTTCGATGCACGGAAATAGCGCTACTTTTTTCCTTTCCACTTTTCACACGGACCTCACAAAAAACTAACTTACCAAATTTAATTTCTTCTCTTTCCACTCCCCTCTCCTCCAAATCATCTCTCACCGGCCTCTAACAAAGCAAAAAATTCAAGAAAAAATTATTGATTGGGAGTTTTACTACATGTACTCCATTTTTCTACTCCCTCACTCTCTAATGTGGCATGAATGATTGATTTTGTTTTGGGTATATATATTATTTACATTTACTCCAAAAAAAAACAATGAATGGTCATCTTCAACCTATGGGTCGTCTCAAACAAAATGTTAACATCAAACTTTTGAGATAGAGTAAAAGTTCGGAGTAGAATTTAAGAGTAGTAGTATTTTCTATTGATGGAATGCTCTAAGGGGGCGTTTGGTTTAGGTAATCTGAGTGTGATAATGTTATATTACTTTGTTTGGTTTAAGTTATGAGATTACCTAATAATGTTATATTACGGTAATTTGGTCCCCGACTATTTTTTTTTTTTACCAAATAAGTCCCTTAACTTTAAAAATTTTAACCAATTTGGTCCTCCGTTAGTTTTGCCGTTAGACTTCCTTTATCTTTGGACCAAATTGATAATTTTACTATAGTCAAGGGACCATTTCAGTAATTAACTTTAAGGGTGGCGATTTGGTTCTGTTTTTCCGAACCGAACCATACCGAACATTGAAATAATTGATCGTACCGAACGATTCTGTTAAAAATCGAAAGAAAATACCGTTTGATTTTATTTATAATAAAAATAACAATAATAATAATAATAATAATAATAATATTATTATTATTATTATTATTATTATTATTATTATATTTTAAATAAAATCAAACGGTTATTCCAGTCGTTTTTAACCGAATCGGTTGGTACGGTTAATTACTTTAATGTTCGGTACGGTTTACTTTGGAAAGGCATGCCGGTGGGGAGCAACATGGGCACAATTCCAGGCGGGCGGCCTTGGTGCGAACTGGTGCGAAAGAATGGAACGGACCGTTGGCAAGCACAAGGATTTGAAAACCAAATGTTCAACATATTCGGACAAAACTACCCTCATATATCTTTGTTAAATACAAATGCATAAACAACTTAGCCCTAGCCGCTTCTTTTTCTCTCTACTTTCCTCTTTTACCAAGTTACCCGATATCTCTCAATTTCTCGATTGAAATCAGTCTAACAGGTAGGTAGTCTTCCGATCTCTTCGATCAATGGCTAATTCATCAAAATCTTTATCATCTTGTAGCTTAACGAGAATAATTAATTTATATATTTATAATAATTTTACTTTACATTTTTCAATATGATTTTTATATTTATTAATTTAATTTTTATTAATATTTGGAATTAATTATGTTGTTGCGTTTCAACGCACGTTCGATGCACGGAAATAGCGCTACTTTTTTCCTTTCCTCTTTTCACACGGACCTCACAAAAAACTAACTTACCAAATTTAATTTCTTCTCTTTCTTCTCCCCTCACCTCCAAATCATCTCTCACCGGCCTCCAACAAAGCAAAAAAATCAAGAAAAAATTATTGATGGGGAGTTTTACTACATGTACTCCATTTTTCTACTCCCTCACTCTCTAATGTGGCATGAATGATTAGTTTTGTTTTGGGTATATATATTATTTACATTTACTCCAAAAAAACAATGATTGGTCATCTTCAACCTATGGGTGTTAAACAAAATGTTAACATCAAACTTTAGAGAGAGAGTAAAAGTTGGGAGTAGAATTTAAGGGTGTGTTTGGAAACCTGGAAAATGAGTTCTGGAAAATGAGTTCTGGAAATCATTTTCCAAGTTTCCATGTTTGGATGTGCCTGGAAAATCAAGTCAACGGAAATCATTTTCCGTTGACTTTGGAAAATAGGCTTGTTTTGGAGGAAAATGACTTCCCATTTTTGTGGGGAAGTCATTTTCCAACTTTTACACCAACATCACACCACCTCCAACATCATCAACACCATACCACCACCACCTCACTACCACCATCACCACCACTACTGCCGCTGCTACCACCACTATACCACCGCAACCACTGCCACCACATCACCACCACCACTACCACTACCAACACCATCAACACCATACCACCACCACCACCACCACCACCACCACCGCTGCCATCGCTGCAACCACCACCACCACTATACCATCGCAACCATCGTCGCTGCCACCACCATACCACTACCACCATACCACCACCATCACACCACCACCACTACCGCCGCCGCCACCACCACTACCATACCACTGCAACCACCGTCGCCGCCACCACCACCACCACTACCACCGCCGCTGCCGCCGCCACCACCCTACCACCGCAACCATTGTCGCTGCCACCACCACCACCACTACCTCCGTCGCCGCCGCCACCACCATACCACCACCACCCTACCACACAACCACCGTCGCCGCCACCACCACCACCACTACCACCGTCGCCGCCACCATACCACCACAACCATCGTCGTCGCTGCCACCACCATACCACCGCAACCATCGCCACCACCACCATCACATCCACCGCCGCCGTCGCCACCACATCACCACTAGTCCACCACTGCCACCACCGTCATACCACCACCATTTATTATTATTATTATTATTATTATTATTATTATTATTATTATTATTATTATTATTATTATTATTATTATTATATAACAAATAACACCACTACCACTACACCACCACCACCATAACATTTTTAATATATTATTAGTTATTTTTTATTATATTTAAAATTATTATTATATTATTATATATGTTGTAATATTCTAAATAAAATAATTAAAATGTTTAATTATACAATTCTACTCATTTTCCAGAAAATGAACCAAACACACAAAAACAGTTTTCCAGAATTCAAACAAACACGGGAAAGGAAAATATTTTCCGGAAAATGACGCATTTTCCAGAAGTCATTTTCCTACTTTCCAAACGGACCCTAAGAGTAGTAGTATTTTCTATTGATGGAATGCTCTAAGGGGGCGTTTGGTTTAGGTAATCTGAGTATGATAATGTTATATTACTTTGTTTGGTTTAAGTTGTGAGATTACCTAATAATGTTATATTACCTTAAAGCTGATGTGGCGGTAATGTTTCAATGTAATGTGATTACCTCCATTTTCTTAGGTAATCTTATATTACCTTGAATTATATATATATATATATATATATATATATATATATATATATATATATATATATATAAAGAGTTAATTTCCAAAATGGTCCCTTGGCTATAGCGAAATTATCGATTTGGTCCCCGACTAATTTTTTTTCAACAAATAAGTCCCTCAACTTTAAAAATTTTAACCAATTTGGTCCTCCGTTAGTTTTGCCGTTAGACTTCCGTTAACTTGGGATCAAATTGGTAATTTTACTATAGTCAAGGGACATTTCATTAATTAACTTTAAGGGTGGCGATTTGGTTCCGTTTTCTCGAACCGAACCATACCGAACATTGAAATAATTAATCGTACCGAACGATTCGGTTAAAAACCGAAAGAAAATACCGTCTGATTTTATTTATGATAATAATATTATTATTAATAATAATAATAATATAATAATAATAATAATATAATAATAATAATAATATTATTATTATTATTATTATTATTATTATTATTATTATTATAAATAAAATCAAACGGTATTTCCAGCCGTTTTTAACCGAATCGTTCGGTAGTCGGTACGGTTAATTATTTTAATGTTCGGTACAGTTTAGTTTGAGAAAATTGAACCGAATTGTTCACACTTAAAGTTAATTACTGAAATAGTCCATTGACTATAGAAAAATTACTAATTTGGTCCCAAGTTAACGAAAGTCTAATGGCAAAACTAACGGAGGACCAAATTGGTTAAGATTTTTAAAGTTGAGGATTTAATTAGTCAAAAAAAATAATCGAGGACCAAATTGGTAATTTCACTATAATCAAGGGATCATTTTGATAATTAACTTTATAATAAATTATATAATAATAATTATACAAATGGGAAAAGGCAGTAGACCAGGCGACCAGTAGTAAATCCTTACCCTCTCTGTCTGAGTGTCTCTCATCTCAATCTCTAATTCTCTCAAAAGCCATCGTGAATCCCAGTGGCCCAGTGGAAGTATGAACTATTAACTATGAAGATTGAAGACCATTAACTATGGACTTTATGATAATTTCATTGTTTAATTGTTTATTTCAAAGTTCATACTGTGAACAATGTGAAGAATATGTGAAGTAATTAACTTATATTAATTGTTTATTTATTTAGTAATGATTTGTCCACTGTCGGTTTTTTGGTTTCCATAATAACCAATCGACGTATATGTTCGGTCGATTTCGATCGGTCATGGAGGTTAAGAAAATACGGTTAGTTATTCGATTATTGACCGTAACTAACCGATGCTCACTCCTACCTATTGCCTGTAGTAATCTAAAATTCCATGAACCAAACACTCCTTAAAAGTAAAAAAGATCCAACCTTCCGTTTTCACTTCAATTGTTTGAATTGACTCGTAATCCAATAATAGACGGATTAAAATATTTACTTTATTAAGAACATCTTCAAGAGTGATATATATATATATATATATATATATATATATATATATATTTTTTTTTTTTTTTTTTTTTTTTTTTTTTTTTTTTTTTTTTGCTTAGTTGTAAGAAAACGAAGGTAAGTTGGAGGTGAGAGAAGTGAGGAGAGAAGATTTTGGATTTTGCAATAGAGATGGTAAAAAAATTGGGTTGTGCTTGTAACGTGCACTAATTGCGCCCAGCGGGGGCGTAAATTTTTTTTTTTTTTTTTTTTTTTTTTTTACTCTCCTTTCTCCTATTGGCAAAAAACCTGACAAAAATTCATGAGTGATGGTGTTGCTCTAAGCGGAGGGTAAGACACCGTGTCAAGAAGGGACGGATTATGATAATAAAATGATTACCGTGAAGGAACGGTATAGTATGCTACTAAGTCGTCGGCGGTTACTCCCACTTTATTGTGTAGTTTTCCTTCTTTTAATCTATAAAATTTGTAGGAGAGCAGCAGAGGTCCACTGAAGACGGCCAATTACGATTATTTTTGTTTGCCAAATGGAAGCTTCATGCAACAGCCAGTTGAATAGACTTGTACAAAAGGTGCCGGACCAACATTTCAGTTGGTTCATAGGCAATAAATTATGGGTGAGAACATATAATCAAGCTCTTGAGAATCGCATTATGAGAGTTATATTCAATATGGTAGGACACACAAGTACTGATCTTCTCACTTAATAAGTTGTTGAGTCACTATGATTCACTCATCCACTATTCTGTCGGACTGAGTATGGAAGCTTTGGGGTGAGGAAATTTTGTCCTTTGTGGACAACTCTTGTTCAAGGGGTTAGTGTGTACTTATTAAAATAAAATTGTACTAATATTAAAAATAATAGAAAGAGAGAGAGAGAGAGAGAGTGATGATTACTTGAGAAATAATGACGGGATGAAGAAGCAAAAGCGACATTCTGCTGGTAATTAGTTACAGAGTCGCTACAACCACACCAAATACTCTTTCATTTTGCATTCCTTACCAGCTCCCTTCTCCAACCACTCTCTCTATTCTAGTCCTAAAACCCCAATCAACTGTAAACATTTCTTTACTATATGGTCTAACTGTCCATTTCATTTGTATATCACTGAAATATAAAAACAAAGGGTGGTTGAGCAATGGAAAATTGAGCACCCAATCACAGTGAATCTGATGATGTAAACCAAGTCAACTTCCTGCCTGCTGCACGGAAAGATTCCTCCCTCATTCCCATTTCCCAATCATTCCTATTGTCATCTTCATTTTACTTCTTTATAATTCACTGATTCTCATACCCTCAGATCCATCCTACAAGTTTCTCCCTCCCTCCATCCATCCATCCATCCCTGCATAGCCAAAAATTAAGTGAAGAAGATGAAGAACAATCTTGGCACCAATACCAAGTTTATACTTCTTCACCCTTACATTCAGAAACAGGGTGGTACCAACCGAGTGTGGATTCTGGCTTTCGTTTCATTCTTCGCGGTTGCGTTCCTGCTTACCCTCTTCTACGCAAGAGACTACATTCCCACAACCTCTGCTCCTGTTATCTCTGCCACCACCACAGCTGCTGCCAATGCTCCACTCTCCAAGTTGGTGGCCAGGGCGCTTGCCCATTATGCTTCCAACTCCAACAACACTGACCGCATGTCATACACAGATATCAAACAGATTTCTGATGTCCTCCGCCAGTGCTCTCAGCCCTGTAATTTCCTTGTTTTTGGCCTCACACATGAGACCCTTCTCTGGCAAGCTCTCAACCACAATGGTCGAACAGTATTCATTGATGAAAACAGGTACTACGCTGCTTACATTGAAGAAAAGTACCCGGAAGTTGAAGCCTATGATGTTCAATACACAACCAAATTAAGCGAAATGAAGGATTTAGTTTCGGCAGTCAAACAACAAGCACGCAACGAATGCAAGCCAGTGCAGAACCTACTCTTCTCTGAGTGTAAGCTTGGCCTCAACGATCTTCCTAATCAATTATATGAAGTGGATTGGGATGTTATATTGATTGACGGGCCACGAGGGTATTGGCCCGAGGCACCAGGAAGGATGTCAGCAATCTTCACTGCAGGTGTGCTTGCCCGGAGCAAGAAGGGTGGCAACCCGAAAACACATGTTCTAGTGCATGATTTCAACCAGAAAGTGGACAGGATGGTAAGTGATGAGTTCTTGTGCAGGGAAAACTTGGTGAAGTCTGAGGACATGCTGGGGCACTTTGTCTTGGAAAAAATGGATGCTAACTGCTATCAGTTCTGTCACAGCCACAACACAGCATAATCATCTTCTCAACCTTGTTAAACCACCACCACCATCATCATTACACTGTATGTAACAAAAACAAATAGATGTGGGATTGGTTTATTTAAAATCTACCAAATTCTTTTTTGACAGGAGGAGGTTGTGGGCTGTAAAAATAATTTTTCTTTTGAGTATTCTCAGTTGAACTGAAAAGCAAATGTTTGTTTAATACATAGTATATTTACAACTTTAATATCTGATTTTTATTTATTCATTTTGACAAGATCAATCTAAAAGCATATATGTCCAAAATCTGCTGTTTTAGGACAAAACAGAGAGATTGTTGAGTTAGCATTATGTTTAAGTTTCAAACTTTTGATCCGTTAGTAAAGGAAGGAAAACTTTCTTAAATTGCAAAACAAACTCAAAACTACACTTCAAATTTAATCATTTAAGCTAGTAGCTTAAATTTGAAGGGTAGTTGTATTGAGCTTGTTTTGCAATTTAAGCTTGTTTTTCTCCCCAAAAGCACCAAGGTCTTCAAGCCATGCACTAAATTTCACAGTGTGACAAACAAAAATACAGCAACAACAAAAAAGCTGTGCACTAAATTTCACAAAAATAATGGTGACCAAATGTGAAACTTACCCACTAGTTATGAACTATAGTAGAAAAAAATTATGGATACATAACTTTACCCATCATAACATTGCTTTTGGTACAAACAAACTCCAAGTGGCAAACTCCATCCAAGACACTAAAACTTAGCTATTTAAACCTTGTTTAAAATCATGAATGGAAAGGAATAAAAGTATTGCAATTTGTAAGTCCAACTACAGTTCAAATTTAATCATTTGAGCTAGTAAAGATTAAATTTGAAGGGTAATTGAATTGAACTTGTTTTGCAATTCAAGCTTGTTTTTCTCCCCAAAAGCACCAAGGTCTTCAAGCTAACAAGGTTATGAACTGGAAATGCAACATGATGGGAGTATGCGACAAAAACACAAAAGTCGTGCACTAAATGTGACAAAAATAATAGTGACCAAATGTGAAAGTTACCTACTAGCCGTTTACCAAAAGTAGATATAATTATCAATAGAGTTAATTTCATTTTTGGTCCTAGTTTTATTGGTTGCAGTCCACTTTAAGTCCTTTTTTATTGGAACATCCACTTTTGGTTATACTATTATTGTGGCAGGACCATTTTTTGTCATTTATCAATAAAACAATTTAAATATCGTTAAATACAACGGCATCTCCATCTTCAATTATGGATTTTTTCAAAATAATAAACATAAAAAATATAGTAGGTCAACTTACTTTGTATAAAAAAGATCAAAATGTCTTTGTATTTATCGACATTTCAACGATTTTGTTGACGGGTGACTAAAGATGGTTATGCCACAATAATACTATGACCAAATGAGACTGTTCTAATAAAAAATGACTAGATATGGACTGTCACCTATAAATCTAGGACTAAAAATGGAATTAACTCTTATCAATATGTAACTCTACCCATCATAACATTGCTTGGTACAAAGAATCTCCAGGTAGCAAATTCCATCCAAGACACTCAAAATTAGCTATTTAAACCTAGTTTAAAATCTTGAATGAAAAGGAATATAAGTATTGCAATTTGTAAGTCCAATATTCTTACCAAACATATTTGAATAGAAAACATTCCTAAGCTAAACTGATTATCCAAAGTCAAAATTTAAGCTAAAATGCCACCGGAGAGGTAGAGGATATACCGGGAGTTGATGATTGGTTCCATTGCCAAAACTGCTTCCGGCAATATGTTTAGATGCAGTAGGCTCCCCTGCGGTTTATAGAATCCAGTAATGCAATCTGAAATGTAGAATGATCAAAGTCACAACTCACAATGTCATAACCAGGTAACTTTCAGCTGGTATAACCAGATAAGTTTTAGATCTCCGATAAAGGCAACACTATTAGCTAATTGCAAAACTATGAACAATGGAAATGCCGTCAGTAGCCATGTATACAAACTGTATGTTCGCTTGATCAGATCTTCTTCGAAGCAGAAGACCATATAGAGAGATACACCTTCTCAGGGAAGAGTAAAAATTCATTATGAGTATAATTTGAGCTTATCGATTACCTAACAGATAGTTAAATCTAGAGAGGTATACGTATTTGCTAAGAGCGCACACAGACTGAGCTACGAATCGACCATACGGATGATGATGAATTTGACTTACGTTTGGCTTTTTCCAAGGGATAGAAAGAGTAAAGCAGTATGGAGTTCATTAGGTGGCATGAGAACTCCAGAACGGCTGCGCAACCCATCTCCGCCGCCTCTTGTGCCGGAAGCCCCGGATACGAACTGTTATGCCTGGCGGTTTAAGACTAGGCATGGCAATGAGTCGGGTGTTGGTGGAGTGTGGGTCGGGGAGGGTTACGTCCATCACCCGATCCACCTTATATTTTTTTCACTCATTTCTACTCCCAATTTATATCAGGTGGACTTTTTCAAAATCCACTCCACCCCCATCGAGTGCGGGTGCCCACTACGGGTACCCACCACTTATAATCTTGTTATTTTTTTTCAAAAAATAATATTTAAATTACTTACACATAATAAAATAATAAAATTTATTAGTTATATAAAACATAAAATAATAGAAATATTTAAATATAATAATTAAATTGTTACTTTTTAAAAATAAACTTAGTAGTTTAGATATAAAAATAGTAAAAATTTACATGAAATTATAAAAACTTTTATAAATAACTACATGGTGGGTCGGGTGGGGTTCTAGACGGATTTTGTACATAGAACTCGAATCCAACCCGACCCACTGCGGGTTTACTTTTTTAAGACCCACCCTCGATCCATCATCCACTATCACCCAAAAAAATCCGATCCATGCGAGGTGGATTCGGGTGGATATCCGCAGGGCGGATTGAAATTGTCATTCCTATTTAAGACTTTAAGCCCAATCATTATTCTGTGGACCATGGTCCACACAAGTTGTATGGACCATATTTTGTATACTATAAAATAATGTACATTCAGTACAAAAATAATGTACATTCAATATAAAAATAATGTACATTGTATTCAGAAAATGTACATTATTTGTGTATTGAGTGTACATTATATCATATAATATACATTCGGTACAAAAATAATGTACATTTAGTATATTAAAAATGTACTTTTTGTAATGGTCCATACAACATTGTGTGCACCATGGTCCATATAATAATTTGTCGTTTAATCCTTCACGGGTCACGGGATAGTTGATGAACATGCATGTATGGGCTTCGGTCCAGTTTGGCGAAGAAAAATTTCATTTTATTATTATTATTATTTGAAAAAAAGTGTAAAATAGATCATTGAACTTATATTGTGAATTAAACCATTGAACTAAAAAAATGTATAATTAGATGATTAAGGCTTTATTTGACAAACCTAGCTGAAAAGTTATAAGCTAGGAGCTGAAAGCTGAAAAGCTATAAGCTCGGAGCTGAAAACTGAAGAGCTATTAAACTAGCTGTTATGATTGAAAGTGTTTGGTAAAAATAGCTTTTTGATAAGCTGATAAATGTCAAAAGACAAAAAATGACATCTTCATAAAATTTAAATTAGTTTGTTTACATATTAAAATTTAACATTTTATCTTTAAAAAAAATTAACATTTTGAAATAAAAGGGGTAATCGCACTTTTGGTCCCTCAATTAGTGCCCATTCTGCAATGTCATCCTTAGTTCCCAATTTGAACACATTTGGTCCCTCAATTATTCGACCATTAAGCAGATTTGGTCCTTCTGTTTGTATGGCCGTTTAACACCATTTAAAGCATGGGTAAAAGTGGAATTTCACATAGCATTGTTTATAATAAGTATGGGAAATCGCACTTTTGATCCCACAATTAGTGCCCAATCTGCAATGTCATCCTTAGTTCCCAATTTGAACACAATTGGTCCCTCAATTATTTGACCACTAAGCAGATTTGGTCTTTCTGTGACGCCAAGCTCCAGCGCCGGCAGCCTTCTTCTTCATCAGCAGATTGGGTTCCGAAACGGGCGTTTGCCTCTGAAGATGTCGGAACGGACGAAGGCGATTTTCGAGCGAGTTAGCCGGAGAAAGCTCCTGCAAACTCAGGAAGATGACCAGGTTCTGGTGACTGACATTGTGGTTGTGAGTCAAGATGGGAGTGGAAATTTTACCACCATTAATGACGACGTCGCCGCTGCTCCCAACAACACTCTGTCCGACGGCGGCTACTTTCTCGTATACGTGACTGCTGGTGTGTACGAGGAATACGTCTCCATTGCCAAGAACAAGAAATACTTGATGATGATCGGCGACGGCATTAACTAGACCATCATCACCGGAAATCACAGCTATGTTGATGGCTAGACTACTTTCAATTCTTACTCATGTGAAATTTCAATTATACCCCTGATTTAAACGGAGTTAAACTTATGGTCTCATAGAAGGACCAAATCTGCTTAATGGTCAAATAATTGAGGGACCAATTGTGTTCAAATTGGGAATTAAGGAAGACATTGCAGATTGGGCACTAATTGAGGGACCAGAAGTGCGATTTCTCATACTTATTATAAACAATGCTATGTGAAATTCCACTTTTACCCATGCTTTAAACGGTGTTAAACGACCATACAGACAGAAGGGCCAAATCTTCTTAATGGTCGAATAATTGAGGGACCAAATGTGTTCAAATTGGGAACTAAGGATGACATTGCAGAATGGGCACTAATTGAGGGACCAAAAGTGCGATTATCCCGAAATAAAACTATTAGCATAATTATGATCTAGCATCTCATAATGAAGTAGCAATATTGTTACAAATCTCATAATAATAATAATAATAATAATAATAATAATAATAATAATAATAATAATAATAATAATAATAATAATAATAATAATAATAATAATAATTATTATTATTATTATTATTATTATTATTATTATTAGTATTATTATTATTATTATTATTATTATTATTATTATTATTATTATTATTATATTTGCGATGAAAGTTGCGGCTAAAGGAGAAGAGAAAATGGTTTTAATTGGAGAAGAGAAAATGATTTTAATTGGGAAGAGTAAATTATGTCATTTCTTTAAAATAATAAGGATAAAGATGGAAAAAAAGTTAAGAAGCTAGGAGCTTATTTTGAAACGCTACCTAACCGTTCCAAAATAAGCTCTTATTTTAAGCTATGAGCTTATTTTGGGAACATTACCAAACAGAACTTATAGCTTATTAGGAGCTTAAAATAAGCTATAAGCTCCTAAATAAGCTCTGCCAAACAGAGCCTAAACAAGTAAAAAAAATGTATAATTAGATGATTAAACAAGTAAAAAAATGTGCAATTTACATTTTTACAGGTTACCAACATGTTTTCAATAATGATTGTTTAGTTGTCTATATAAATAGAATTATTGAATTTTTTTCGAGTTGACATGAACATAATTTTTTTAAAAGGCCCTTGGTCATTAACAGGGCGTTTGGTTGAACGGTGGGAAAACAATAAGGCGAGAATAAAGTATGAATTCAAATTATGTTGTTTGGTAAGGAAAAATAGAATTATTGGAACTGGGAAGGAAATAAGTAGTATAAAGACTAAAATATCCTTGTGTAATAATAATATAGTTATAACAACCAAGGGTAGTAATGTCATTTCATATATTTTTCCTTTCTCAAATTCATTAAATTGCAATTCATGGGGGTACCCCATGAATTGCAATTCAACAAAAGGAGGGAATTGCAATTCGCTCTAACCAAACAATGTAATTGAGGCATCCACTGAATTGCAATTCAACTACAGCTAAATTACAGTGAACCAAACACCCTGTAAGTTCAATTCTCTATTTTTCATTTTCTAAATTTCTAATTTTTATTTTCCAATCTTTTAATTTTTTATTTCTCCAAATTTTTTATTTGACAAAATTTTTAAAATAATCCACCGACTATGGCTTTTGGGGAGGGGGGAAAAGGCAACCTGTTGCCTCCCCTTTCGTTGCCATGGAGGAGGCAGCCTTAAAAAAACAATCATTTGTGAGGACTTGTTGGTATCATGTAAAAAATGTAAATTGTAGATATTTACATGTTTGATAATTTAGTTGTACATATTTTTAATTGGAATAAGTGTCAAATAGGCCATTAAACTACACACCAAAATGTAATTAGGTCATCAAATTTTTAAAAAATACAACTAAGTCCTTGAACAACGTAAATAAATGGAATTTCACCAAAAATAACTTGTTTACCTGTTGAAATTAATATAGATGATGGATTCTGTGGCATTGAAACAGGCGTTGTGACACAATTAATTTATAACGCAGTTTGGGCAAACAACCCTAAACTGCGAGGCACTTCTCGAGTTGAGAATTTGCCTAAATCCACTAAAAGCACGATATTTAAAGTACACTTGGTTTAGGGAACTGGGATTACACAATATGAGATCCTATCAAACTATTGTGACCTAAACACTTGTACTACTTTTCAAGGGGGTTTGGGTATCCCTTCTCAAGGACTCTCGTGCTCATAGTTAGGTGTTGAAAGCGTGATTGATGAGTTGTGGAGCGGCTCCTTTTATAGGTCAAGAGACGAGGTATAGATAGGATTAGGATTGTCAATCCTCTTTAGATTAGGAATATAATTCCTAAGTCTTGTTTGATTAAGAATTCCTTGTTTGACTAGAATTTGACAATATGTCTTATGTCAACATTCTCCCCCTTTGTCAAATTTTAGCAAAAACCTTGATCCTCTTTTGTTTATTGATCTAGAGTTGACATGTGGAGGTGTCTCCCCCTTGATCAGTGGATCTCCCCCTTAATTTGCGGCAGTAAATGTGGGTGATCATTTGACTCTTTTAAAAGAGAATTTGCCTGGTACTTATGTCTGACTTTTTGAAAAAAAAATTTGCCTGTTGTTTGATTCTTCTAGTTGAGTCTGCCAGTAAGCACAGAAAAAGAAAGCAAAAGGTGGTCTTGTTCTGCTTGTCTATCATTCTTCTGGTGCACAAAAGAGGGAACAGCAAAAAGAAGTCTGCCTATCAGTAGACAATACACAATACATAATCACAACATGAGGTGGTTGTCTGTCTTTTTCTCCCCCTTTTTTGCTAAAAACATGAGTTATTCTCTTTCTCCTGGTTCTGGTGTTGAAACTGGTGTTTCAGCACCTCTTTCTTGGATGTCTTCTTCTGATCCTTGGTTTTGACTTTGATTATCTTCATTTTCTGATTCCTGAGAGTGTTCTTGAATATCTTCTTCTGTTCCTTGCTCTTGGTTATCTTCAATTTCTGCCTTTAATACTGCCAGCCATTCTGTTATTTCAATTTTTTCTTCCTTGATGATCATGTGTCTTCTCAGTAGTTGTTTTTCTGAGGCTTCCAATTCTGTCAATCTGCCTTCAAAATAAGTGATCAGTGTTTTTGAGTCAAGTGGGTTGTTCTTTGGAGTTGTGGATTTAAGATCATTTTGGTGGTTTCCCTTCCTTAGTTTGACAGTTGTGTTGAAGTTCTTGACTGTGGTCTTGGGTCCTTGAGTCTTGAGGCCCTGTTTTGTCAGGATTGAAAAAATGAGGCTTGGAAAGACTAGGGAGGTGTTGGATTTGGTATCTTCTGCTAGATTTGTGATTTGTGCATGAATGATTGAACCCATGTTGGTTTTCACTCCTTTTCCTATTTTGTACAGCAGTTTTGCTAGGGTCCATTTTACTGTGGATTCATGAAGTGAGGGCATCCAGTTTGTAAGGGCTATCTTCTGTAGGATTGCATACTTGCTGGTCAGAGAAGCTGCTTTGATTTTGTTCTTTTCAAAGCTAACATTTCCTGCTGTGCGTTCCTTGGCTACTTGTTCACTGTTTAGTTCAATTTTTTGCTCAATCTCAGATGTTCCAAGGTAGTTGTTAATTGTGTCTGGTGTGAACTCATAGAATTTCCCTCTCACATATATTTTGCCATACATAGGACTACTGGGAATTGTGGTGGATTTGGTTAGGTTACAGTAGAATTCCTGGATTACTTCCTCATCATAAGGTTCTATATTGGTGACTGTTCCTAGGAGTTGGTTTGTGATGAGGGCTTCTTGGATCTGTTCTGAGTTGTCCAGTTTGTCTGTGTCCAGAATTTTTTGGTTTATAATCCTTTTCTCCACAATTCTATTCCATAATTTTCCAGACTCTTTACTTAGGAAGGTTGTACTGTGTGGGTTGGGTAGGTTTGACTGGTCATCATCAGTGCTAACTACTTTCTATTTCCCTTTTTCTTTGGCAGTTGCCTTTTGTTTTCCCTTTGCTTTGATGGACACTTTGGTGATTTGTGGCTGTTTTCTCTCTAGGTTGGTTTTCTTTTGGGCTCGGGTTCTTATTCTCTCACAGCCAGAGGGCTCAATTTCATCATTTGGTACCCAGTTTTGTTCATCCTCTGTGTTGACATTTCTTGGTTTCTTGGTTCTAGTGGGTTTTGGTGGGATGTTTGGTGGTCTTTGAGGAGGGCATGCACGTACTGGGAAGTCACTTGGCCTTTTGGCCCTTGGATCAGCTCCTTCATATGGGTCAGGCATTTTCCTCTTTCTAGGGTTTTTGGAGACCCGAGGAATTGGATTGGGGGTTTCTCCAATTACGGTTTGTTCATCAATGTTAGGACTTGAGGGATGTACTTCCTTGTGATTGTGAGGATCTGTGTGTCCCTCAACTTCTGATTCCCTTGGATTGTCCTCTTGTTCGGAGCTGACATAGGAACCCATATCCGGTTCCCAGCCTTGGTTTATGGCAAACCGAAGTTGTACCACTATATCATTTGGATCAACGATCCTATTGTCTCCAAAATCAGCCGCAATGGGCATGGGTATAGGGGTTTCCTCATGATCTATCAGTGGGAGATTCAAGTTACCTGGAGGATTGGTGCTTTGTTCTTGGGGTTTTCCGAATGGTACTCTGGCTATCGGAACAGGATCCATCGCAATGTTGGCGGAACTCTCTTCTTCGACACATACAGGGTTCGATGGTTCTCCAGTGCCGGTGAGTTTTGAGGTGCTGTTGGTTGTTCCTCTTCGAGGTAACTTTCCCATTCTCTGATTTCTGGTTCTCACCATGGTTACTATTGTATGAAGGTTGAGGATGGATGGTGATTTCTCAGGTGGGAGTTGAGTGGAATCGGGTGAAAATGATGACTCTGTTTTGGATTTGGGGCTTCTGAGGTATGGATCCGGGTTTGGGCTTTTGTGAAGGGGCGGTGTAATGGTACAGACATGGGCCGGTTTTGGGTTGACGGACTTGTTTTGTGGATTGGGCCCATGTGTTTCTCTTTTAATTGGTGAGTATTATAGGATACAAAGGCCCATTTCAGTTCTTAGTTTTGTGTATCTATTCCCATCTAGAGCTTTGGTTAAAATATCTGCTAGTTGTCTTTCTGTACTTATGTGAGTAAGACTGATGATTTCATCTTCAACTAATTCCCTTATGAAGTGATGTCTGATGTCTATGTGTTTTGTCCTTGAGTGTTGGACTGGGTTTTTTGAAATATCTATTGCGCTCTTATTGTCACAGTGGATTGTCATGGTTGATTGTTGCATTCCATAGTCTTCTAGCATCTATTTCATCCAAAGTAGTTGTGTGCAATAGCTTCCTGTTGCAATATATTCGGCCTCTGCTGTTGATATGGAAATAGAGCTTTGTTTCTTGCTGATCCATGATACTAGATTAGTACCTAGGAAAAAACATCCTCCTGACATACTTTTTTTGTCATCTATGTTACCTGCCCAATCAGCATCACAATAAGCTGAGAGATGATGATTGGTGTCAAATGAATACCATATTCCTAGATCGGATGTCCCTTTCACGTATTTAATGATTCTTTTGACCGCTTTTAAATGTTGCTCGGTTGGATTGGCTTGGTATCTTGCACAAATTCCTACTGCAAAGCTTAGATCTGGTCTGCTAGCGGTTAGATACAGTAACCCTCCTATCATGCTTCGATATAGGGTTTGTTCAACCGGTTTTCCCTTTGTATCCCTTGATATTCTCTCTGTTGTTGGAACAGGTGTTCTGATAACTTTGCTTTATTCTAGACCGAATCTTTTGACTAAATTTTTGGCATATTTGCTTTGAGAAGTAAAGATTCCATTGTCCAGTTGTCTGATTTGTAGACCAAGAAAGTAGGTTAGTTCCCCAACCATGCTCATCTCAAATTCTCCTTCCATGTTGATGATGAATTGGTTTTTGTGGACCTCAAGTGTTGAGCCAAATACTATATCATCAACATAGATTTGGGCAATGACTATGTCTTGACCATAGTGTTTGACGAATAGGGTTTTGTCCACGCTGCCTCTTGTGTAACCCTTTTTGACTAGGAAATCAGTGAGGCGTTCGTACCAAGCCCGTGGTGCTTGTTTTAGTCCGTATAGTGCTTTGTTAAGTTCAAAAACTCTTTGTGGAAAATGGGGGTCTTCAAATCCTTTTGGTTGAGCAACATAGACCTCTTCTTTTAGATATCCATTCAGAAATGCAGTTTTCACATCCATTTGGTATAGTTTTATCTTGAGTATGCAAGCTACTGCTATGAGTAGCCGGATTGATTCAATTCTGGCTACTGGGGCGAATGTTTCCTCGAAGTCTGTTCCTTCTACTTGAGGGTATCCTTGAGCTACTAGTCGGGCTTTGTTACGTATGATGTTTCCTTGTTCATCCATTTTATTTTTGTAAATCCATTTTGTCCCTATGATATTGGCATGTTCCGGTTTAGGGACTAACTCCCAGACATTGTGTCTCTCGAATTGCTGTAATTCTTCTTGCATGGCTTCTACCCAAAATTCATCTTTTAGGGCTTCCGTGATGTTTTTGGGTTCAGTTTTTGAGGTGTAGCAGTAGTCATAGTCTCCTTCTTCCATTTTTTGATAGTCTCGTTTCTTTCCTCTAGTCCTGATTCCTTCATTTAGTCCTCCTATGATGTTCTCTATTGGATGGTTTTTCTGTACCCTGGTTTCATCAGCGGTGTGGATTTCTTCTTTTTCTTCAAGATCTACAGCTTCTTCTTTTTCTAATGTTTCTGGTTCTGATTTCTGGTTGTGTGAAGTTCGAACTGCTGTTTCAACACCAGTTATCTCTTCATCATTTTTGGGGAAATCTTATGTTGTGTCATTGACCACAACATTGATAGATTCCATGACAGTGTTTGTCCTAAGGTTATATACTCGATATGCCCTGCTGTTTGAGGAGTATCCTAGGAAGATCCCTTCATCTCCTTTGATATCAAACTTTCCCAATGGTTCTCTATCTTTTAGACTATAGCATTTGCTTCCAAACACGTGTGTGTTTTAAATTTGGTGTTCTTCCTTTCCAGATTTGATATGGTGTCATGTTGATTTCTTTTCGAATGAATACTCGGTTTATCAAGTAGCATGTTGTGTTAACTGCTTCTGCCCAGAATTTTGATGGAAGTCTTTTGTGATTTAAGAGGACTCTTGCCATTTCTTGGATGGTTCGATTCTTTTGTTCAACTACCCCATTTTGTTGGGGTGTTTTTGGTGCGGAGAACTCATGATGAATTCCATTTTCTGTGCAGTATTCTTTGAATTTTGAATTCTCGAACTCTCTTCCATGATCACTTCTTAGGCGAATAATTTTTCCTATTCTTCCCTCTTTTTCATTCTGAATTTTGATAATGAGGGTTTTGAAAGTTGCAAATGCTTCATATTTTTCTCTAAGAAAGTTTACCCATGTGAATCTTGAGTAGTCATCAACTGTTACATAGACATATCTCTTTCCCCCTATGCTTTCTGTCTGAGTTGGTCCAAACAAGTCCATGTGAAGTAGTTCTAGGATTCTAGAAGTGTGTATTCCTGCAGTCTTCTTATGGACTGTTCGGGTTATTTTGTTCTCAAGGCATGCATCACATTTTTTGTTTTCATCAATGTCAAGTGTTGGAACTCCTCGATAGGCTCTCTTCTTCAAACCCTTTTTCATGTCATGAAAGTTTATGTGACCCATCCATTGGTGCCATAATTGTGTTTGATTGACGGTTGTCTGTAGACAAGATAGATCACAGTCCCATGTGTAGCATTTATTCGTGGATTTTCTTCCGACCATAACACATTCATGATTCTGATTAAGAACGTTGCAACTATTTTTTGTGAATTCCACTTTAAGTTCATCTTCACACAGTTGACTTATACTAATCAAGTTTGCTTTTAGCCCTTGTACTAGGAATACTTTTGACAGTTTTGGCAGTCCATGCACACTCAGAGTTCCATTTGCAACAATTTTTCCTTTTCCTCCATCTCCAAGGGTAACATATCCTTCATCCTTATAGTGTATGTTCTCTAAATTCTCTGGATTTCCAGTCATATGCCTGGAACATCCGCTATCAAAATACCATATATCATGCTCTTTGTTTGTTTTGGAGGTGTATGCAACATTTTGGTATTTTCTTACCCAGACTTTCTTGCTATTATTTCTGTTGTGTGGTGGCCATGCTCTGTTGTTTTTGTAGTAATAATCATTTTGTCTCTTGTAGCAATGTGCTTTGATGTGTCCTAGTTTGTGACAGTAGTAGCACCTTATTCTTCTTCGATGTCGGAAGTGCTGTTGCGACACTTCCTGTATTTCAGGTTGGTTATTCTCACTGGTGTCCGTGTTTGGAGTCCTGGGTCTTTCGGTAAGCTCCTTAATTTCCTGTAGTAGTTTAGCTTCTCTGGTTTTTGCATCTAACAGTTCGTGTTGAGTTTCCTCGTATTGCTTTTCTATTCGTTCCTTTTCATTTTTCAAATAATGATTATCTTCCATGAGCTCTAAGTTTTTCTTGATGATCTGTTCCCACTTGGCATTTAATTGAGTGTATGCTTCTAGTAATTCTTGCATTTCATCACTATTGTTGTCTTCATGACTGGCAGTGAAGGCCACAAAGTTTGTGTTGCTGTCATCTTCTTCACTATCTGAGTCATCGCTTAGGGTTGTTATATATGTTTTATTCTTCCTTTTCAAGTATGTGGCGCATTCTAATTGAATGTGTCCAAAGCCTTTGCACTCATAGCACTGTATTCCTTCCGTAATTGTATTATCTCTTCTCTTTGGATTGGATGGTTTTTGATTCGTAGAATTTCCTTGGCTGTTTGGAAAATTTTTATTCCTGGACTTGTTAAAATTTTTGAGAACTCGGTTAAAATTCTTTGTTAATAGGGCGATTGATTGCTCCAAGGTTTCTGAATCAGTTTCTGAGTTCTCTTCTTGTCTGGATTGCAGTGCTATTCCTTTACCATTGTTTTTCTGGCTTTGTAACATCTCAAGTTCATAGGTTTGAAGATTTCCTATTAGGTCACTAAGTTTGTACGTGTTCAGATCTTTATTTTCTTGGATAACGGTGACCTTCATTTGGAATCTCCCAGGTAGTGAACGTAGTACCTTTTTGACGATCCTATATTCGGGTATAGGTTCGCCTAGGTTGAATGCATCTCCGGATATGCTTAAAACTCTGGCACTGAATTGGGTGATGTTTTCTTCCTCTTCCATTTTTAGGTTTTCAAACTCAGTTTGTATCATCTGAAGCTTAGATTGTCTTACAGTTGTGTTTCCTTCATGATGATCGCACAATATACCCCATGCAATTTTGGCTATGCGAGTTGATGCGATTAGCTTAAATGTGTCTTCGCTTACCGCTCCATATATTGCATTCATAGCTTTTGAGTTAAAGTCATATTCAGTTCTTTCTTCTTCACTCCAATCAACTCTAGGTTTTGTATTTCCTTTGTCATCGACTGGAGTTTTCCTTTCGTTTTCTATTGCATTCCAGACGCCTTCTCCTTGTGCTAGAATGTATATCTGCATTCGAGCTTTCCAGTAGGAGAAGTTTGTGCCAAGTAGAGCCGGTGGTCTATTGTTTGAAAGACCTTCTCTTGGGAACTCCATTTGGATCCTGCTAATAACTTGAGCAGACCTGCTCTGATACCAATTGAAATTAATATAGATGATGGATTCTGTGGCGTTGAAACAGGCATTGTGACACAATTAATTTATAACGCAGTTTGGGCAAACAACCCTAAACTGCGAGGCACTTCTCGAGTTGAGAATTTGCCTAAATCCACTAAAAGCACAATATTTA